ACTTCCTTTCTAAGCTCCGTGTGCCTTCTTCCTCTTCCCAAAGATGAAAATTCAGCTAAAGGGAAGGAGATTTGAGACGATAGAAGAGATTCAGGCAGAATCGCAGATGGTGCTTGACAGGCTGACAAAGAAAGATTTCCAGGGATGCTTCCAGGCTTGGCAGCGGCGCTGGGGTCGTTGTGTTCACTCCCAGGGGAACTACTTCGAGGGTGATGGATGAATTTAATACCTGAGATAAGTGTACGGGTTTTTATAGGCGCAGTCTTGAAACTTTCCGATCGCACCTCGTAAACTGTTACAGGTTGGGTAAATAAATCTAACTTATTTTAATTCGTGTGAGCCAGACTCATTTCTTGTGTTATCCCACAAAATAAAGGCAAAACAACGTTAATTGGTTTCATAACATGTCAGGTGGCCGTCAATATACCGGATAACCTTTGTATGAAAAGTTTGCTACAAAAACAATTTGAAGGTCAGCGTAGTACAGCAGTCAGTGGTCGGTCATAAAAACTCTTAACAGTTTTCCAAAGGCAATCTCCGATATTCTGCACAACTCACTGACCTTCACGTCTGTTTATTACAGACACACATTTCTTGTTGCAGGGCTAATAATATACTGGGCAGTCACAATGCTGTTTCTTTTAATCTGGTTAAATATCCGCCACACCAAGACATATTTCACACGCATAATTGCAGATCACAACGGGATATCGTCTAGACTTCACGAATGTACAATTTATTAGTGTGGTGATCAATTTAAAATAAAAATCCGTAAATTTCATCTCAGCTTAGCTTAATGTAAAATGGAGAACACGATAAAATTGGAATATGAGCCGACATTACAGTCACCCAACAACTTTCAGTATAGATCCCAGATGCCAAGTTTCGTTTAAATCCGTTCATTAGTTTCGAAAATGAAACATGCGGACGAATATACAAAAGCAGACATCGTACCCTAAGTTTATGAGCTTCGTGATTGTAAACAAAAGGACGTTGGATTTATTTATGTTCCTACAGTAAATGACGCTGTCTGGAGAAATGTGACGTAAAAGAGACTTCAAATATGGAGACCAAGATGTCTCGATTAGAAATTGTATTCTCTTAAGAATTGAAAATGTATTTATTTCCAGTATAAAATCTTTCGTCTCATCTATCGAAATGTAAACTGAATACGAAAGGAATTTCAACAAAGATCGTGAAATACAATGGCAAGATTCTACTTAATCTTAAAGTATTCTTCTTGATCTTAAAATCTGCATGGAAAGAGCACTCACTGTTCCAGCACCCAGCTGGACGAACCAAGGCCGCTCGCTACTCAGTCCACTTCCTGTGTATAGGTCGTGCGAGAAGTGCTGGCAGAGAATCCCTGCTAGGAATTCGATATACGCGCATGCGCAAGATTTCGCGGCGAGTTACGACACATCCTAAAAGCATTAGTTCCACAACCACTGAACGAACAACAGACGACAGGCTTTCATGTGTTCTAATGGGTACAGCTTTAAGATTACCTCACAGTGGTACAGCGATTTAATCTAGAATATTATCGCAACACCCACAGAACACATTAGAGCTGTACAGTCCGCAGACCAGGAGAAAATCCCTGCTAGGAATTCGATATACGCGCATGCGCAAGATTTCGCGGCGAGTTACGACCCATCCTAAAAGCATTCGTTCCACAACCACTGAACGAACAACAGACGACAGGCTTTCGTGTGTTCTAACGGGTACAGCTTTAAGATTACCTCACAGTGGCACAGCGATTTAATCTAGAATATTATCACAACACCCGCAGAACACATTAGAGGTGCACTCACTACACGCTACTCTTAACGGCTTGATGTTTTCAGTCTGTGTAGTAGCCTTAAACTCTGACGTATCACACTTCCCACCAATAGCAGCCCTCTAGTCCACCAGGCAGTAAACATTCCCCCCGCACGCACTAAAACCATTTTCCCCTCGCAGGGATTTTCTCCTGGTCTGTGGACAGTACTAACCAATGTAAGCACGGGGCAGTGTTATTTTAGTATGTAATGAGCACACGGGTGTTGGATGTTCTCAAAGCGATCTCAAGGATTAAACAAGCAAACACGTTCTGCACTGACGATGTATTTGCTGTTCGTTCGAACCACGTTTCTATAAATAAATCAAAGTGATTAGTTCTGGTCAGCAGCAAATAGACGGCAGCAGCTTCGCGGAAATCGTCAGTCAACGGGGATGTGACTGGGTCCTGTGAGAACGGACAGAACCTTAATGGCAACCTACTTTTCTTGTGATCAACTTTTCCAAACGAGTTTCTGGCGACCGATTCATGGTGGAAAATAAAACAAGAGTTGTGAAGTAATGTCACTCGCTCGTCACAAAACGAGATTTCGAGGTCTTTCAGGACGATTAGGCGAATCAGTGACAGACATGTGAAAACTGGTTTTATAATTAAGAAGTTTCCATTCTACAGTACAATACAAGGCCCTGTCTGAAAAACAAATTAGAGAAAATTATATAAATTGCAGCATATTGTAATAATTTACTGGAAATTTCAGACCCACACACTGAAAATAAATGTTTCGACATGAGCCTAGTTATTGTACAAGTACCAAAATTCTAGTCACTTTTTTCTTTTTTCGATTTGTTGAGTTAACGGCAACATTACATTGTAATTCATGTTAATTAATCTGTATTGTTGTAATCGATTTCAAGAAAACACAAGTCGTCACAGAGGATTGCAAGTGTTGTAACCTAAACGTCGCTGTTCGGGGAGTTGGTAGAGGCGTCTTCAGTTATAGCAAAACAGAGCAGAATCGCCAATGTAAGATAATTAAGTGCCATCTGTTGACGAGTGTGCGGAACACTGGAATTGAAACGCTTGTGCCAGGTGATATTTGCGCCCTGATGATGGAAGCAGCGTCGGTAAACTTTTACCAGAATACACGGCGCAATAACCCAGAAGACAGTCATCTTCAGACTCACCGTCGTAAAAAACCTCAAATCCTGTCTTAAAAAAAACTTTTAAATTTTCGAAACAAAACCTCACTAATTCACCTGAATACGAAGCCTGAAATATACAATATTATTATTTTTAAGTCGTAGTTCAGAAAACAATCAAATTTATTCAGTAACAAGTGTTAGCTTAGATGATATGCGATAGGAATATGACGAAAATAAAAAGAAATCTTCATAAAAAAATGTTTAATTAATATTAATTTCGACTGGAAGTGTTCTTTTAAAAAGCCAAGAACTGTTTTGCTTTAAGTACAAATCAGATGGACCACTCTGCACGGACGTTTCTTTTTAATTGATAATCGAGTTCAATTGCCTCACACTCGTGAAAAGCGTTTTGTTTAGCTGATAAATTTAAAAAAGTATAAACAGAAAAAACTAATATTCTTCCCGCTTATAGTGAATGTTTGTTGAAACACTTGTACAATTTGTTTGAGAAGATAGTGTAATTGCGTCATATTGTGAATATTATAACAATTTATTTATTTTAATCCGTCTGATCACAATATTTAAAATTCTACAGAAATCATAATTGAGTTTTAAGTTCTTAGATATAATTTACACCTGATGATGGTTTTATAAAAACCGAAACATGTTGTGTAAATGTTCCGAAATGTAAATCGATCAATCGATATGGAACATCAATGATATTTTATTATCTTAATTATAAGAAATTTTAAATATTGTGATCAGACGGATTAAAACAAATAATTGTTTGAGAAAATTTTGCGTTACTTTATGTTTCTGCCCTGAATGTGGCTAAATATGATTAAGAGTACCCAGATAAAAACAAGCAAACACACAACTGTATTTCCTTTTAGATACCTCATAATACAAAATATTTTCATCAATGACACAGTACAATTACAAGTGACTAGATTTAAGACGCAGTTTCACGCACGAAATGAATGTGTTTTGTGTTGCTCTCGAAACACGAACAACACGAAATAAATGTCTGAAAATGTGCAGCAACAGACACGTAATTAAGTCCACCAGGCACTAATTAACAGCAGACGATGCTCTACGTATATTAGTCCGGCTGGCTGGCTCCAAGAAAGCAGGTCGGATGAGGTCAGGAAATAATGGACAGTTAACTGGATACGGGCCCTTCCCAGGGGTCGTGACGAGTAAGCCACTAGCAGTGTTCTGTTATCACGTGTCATGGCAGATTTTGGTCTGATTCATTACCCCAAGACATGTAGGAAATATTTAACAGCGTTATACACACTGAACAGGTTAATCAGTGTCGAAAAGGGTACAAAAATACGTACAGTCGTCTGTGAAAGTGCAGTCCAACACATTCTGTCTTGGATAGATCGATCAGTGGGATCGCGAGATCGAATCTCGCTCAGGGCAATGATATTTACCTCAACCTCTAGTCAAGAGTCAGACTAAGAAAGTCCATCAATTGTACCTCGCCTATGAAATCCAGACGTCCAATACCGTGATCCGAAGAGCCTAAATTCAGCCAGTTGGACAGCCCAAACAGTCACACCTTAATTATTTGAGATGAATCCTGATCCTTTGCGCCCTCTCCCAAAATAATCCTCATTTCAGGCTTCCCGATCAAAATATTGTTAGCAATTCTCATGTTTCGCGTGCGAGTAAGATGCGTCTCCCATCGCATTCTTACTGACTCTCGTAACATTTGGAAAAACATTACAAATTAGTGTGCAGATTGATGGCTTCAAAGCGCTGAGTTCTACCATGCTCCGAGGTGGCATAAGGCAGTTGAGAGAGGCGGAGACTACGTTGAAAAGTGACATTTTTTGTTCCTAAAGTCTGTGTACCTATCCACTGTGTGCACAGCAAAGTTGTAAAATAAAAATTGATTTATTTAAAAAATATATGGTGCATTACTTTTGGAGTGACCCTCATATTTTTAGACTGACTACAGCTAAAGATTCTAAAATAAACGCCAGCAAGTATTCCCGTGAATAAAATGCAATTTCATAATTGTCGCTCCCAAATATACGAAGGACCTGCTAGCTGTCTTATTTTTAATAATACTGTGTCATGTTTTACAGTGTCCGTTGTCTCAGGTACATTTTATATAAACAACGTTTCTTTCTTTCTAACTTTCAAGTCGAAGTGACTGATTGTCATTACACTGACAAACATTGTTTTAGTCGTAACGGATAATATTAAAGCCGGACCTTTTGGTATTTGATAGTAAACACTAGTCCAGTGGTATTCAACCTTTTTTGTTCACGTACCCCTAGATATAATTTCTCTTCAAATTTGTACCCCCAAAATTCTTGGTGTATAATTCAAGTTATACATAGTATATAATCTACATCTAAAATAAATTAAATAAATTACATTACTGATTTTTCAGTGTTTATCATAAAATAATATATATATATTTTTTTAAATTTCACGTACCCCCGAAGATGTCTTCGCGTACCCCCAGATATAATTTCTTTTCAACTATGTACCCCCAAAGTTGTTGGTGTATAATTCAAGTTATACATAATATATAATCTACATCTAAAATAAATTAAATAAATTACATTACTGATTATTCAGTGTTTATCATAAAATAATATATATTTTTTTTAAATTTCGCGAACCCCCTAAGATGTCTTCGCGTACCCCAGGTTGAATACCACTGCTTTATATTATTTAAAACACAAGGGTCATTCTGAAATTGTCGTCATGAGTTTACCCAGTTACTTCCTGTCCCGTAGTAAAGGGAGCCATATGGAACTCAAATCTAGGTTTGGTTGACTGATAACCCGTTGTGTTCTTTTCACGAATATCGAACGACCCTCTCGTTTCCCAGTGATCCAGTGAGAAAAAAAAATCTCGCTGGGGTACTGAAGTGTCTGCTTTCTGTTGTGTTCCTAACCGAATCAGCAAATATCAATTTGGGCTGCTGGATTCTTCGTGTAGACAGACTGGGAGGCTACAGGTAAGCGTGCCTCCGCTTGTAGGGGTGACTCGTGGTCGATTTTACCTGTCCCTGGGAGTGTCCCTGCGAGAGGAAGCCACGGACACTCGTGCAGACGACTGGTTGCTCTCGCGCTGAGCCTCCCTCAGCAGCCTCAGGTACTCCTCGCCAGAAGAGAAAGGCAGAGGTGTGATCCTGTCCGGGGTATGACTGCAGGTAGCCTGCGCGTTCAGCTCCACCCACGACTCTGCGAACAAGGAGATGACGTCCTGCATTTCAGGGTGCAAGCGACTGCCTACGTGCATCTTCCAAATGATGCTTTAATGTTTCCCATTACCTCGCTAGCCTTCGTGTCAATTTGTTGCAAATCTGCTTAAGAACAAAGGAGCATCTTTCAGATTACTGTTTTCTGGGATGTTACACCGTGTCTTCTGGTGGATACCGACAAATGTTTCAGAGGAGATGATTAATCATCCTGATGTTGGAAGCAGTAAACTCCTCTGAAACATCGATTTGGTCGGTTTCTTTTTCGCAGACTACATCCCAGAAGACTTTGTACTAGTCGCCTTGAGAACCTCAAATCTCACAAATGTGAATATCTGTCTGCTGTTTAACTATTTGCAATCTTCACGGGTGTGAATGCACTTTAACATGATTTTAAGAGAACTAAACACGTGGCAATAATCTTCGTGATATGTGCGGTATCATTAAAGTCTTTGAAACATGCTTGTAAAAGTTAATTTATGTCCTAATCAAATTCGTCTTAAAATGAAACGGACTGAACCAAAACGAAATGGTTCGAACACATTTAGCAGGAAGTCTACCTCACAGTTTTGTATAAATCGGTTCTTGCGTTATTTTCAAAAAACTGTTTAACGCACCTAAAACGTTTTTTTATCCCAAGAGCCTCGCAACTAATCTGCCCCCTTTAGATTGTTTTTCTTTTTAAGCTGTCAACTTCTGTCTACTTTGTGGTTATGGTCTACGTTTTCGTCCAGAAAATTATCGACAAAAGAAACGAGTGTCCGGTTTGACCCAGTTTTCAATACATCACCTAATTAGAAAAAAACAAAACAATTCTGCGCGTAAAACGCAGAATTATCGATAGTTAATGTTAGCAACTTCTCGAAAGATGGTTTCAGTAACAGACTCTGGTTACTAGATTTTGTACACACGTCATTTCTAATTGTATTGTACATATGACTGATATGATAAGGAAGACTTCTTATATTGTTCCGATACATGAATCAGCACTTGTAATGACATACGGGCAAAGACATTTGTTTGTTTCCCGTATCTTATCAATCCCCTGACAATCGCAAACACCTGACGGCTACCAGCAACGCGGTGCTATGGTTATGTCTGCCTTGGATACTACGACGTACGTGACCTGGCGACCTGGTAATGTAATGCCCGCATGATTTGTTAACACATTTCATTTCTGTAGAAATCGCACAAACTGCATGTGACCAACACATCTAGAACTTAACTAGCTAAATATTTATTGGAGCAAACGAAGTTTTGAACAAATTTGTAAGCGATTCGTGACAACAAATTTTACTCATCTGACTTAGATTTTTGAGAAAAAAATATACTGTTCATGCTGTGGCACTTCGTAATAATCCCAGAACCGTCGAACTGATTTTGATCAACGTTTGTTACCGAGGGTCTCTTCTCGTTCGCCCTTTATTTCCCCGGCTTTACGATGTTTATGAGAAAGGAAAAAAGTTAAAGATTTCTGTCTTCTGGGTGGGTCTGGTCGATGTTACCCAATATCATACTCATCGCCCTGATGATGGAGGCAGTATGACCTCTGAAACGTTGGTTAACATCGACCAGACTACACAGCGCAACAACCCAGAAGACAGATATCTTCATACTCATCGCCCTGATGATGGAGGCAGTATGACCTCTGAAACGTTGGTTAACATCGACCAGACTACACGGTACAACAACCCAGAAGACAGAAATCTTCATACTCACGTCTGTGAAAACCTCAAATCATACGAAAAAAGTTAACATTCACCGAATTAAAAACCTAAAAGAGTTAACCACCAACGCATAAAAATTATTTCGGTACGCATATCCTTTTTAACTTGTTTTAAGATACTTTCTTTACAATAAAAGTAGCCTTGTTGTCCTCCAGAGCACGCGTGTTCTTTTCGACCTGATGTCTGTCGCCCGTATTAAAGCTTTGAACCATCTGGCGTATTTTATTTACATTTGCTGTGAACTTCCGGTCGCGTCGCGTTTGAACTTTCTGATTCCCTGCCACCATGGCCGCAGCACTAGCGCCATTTAATGTAGGGCACGGGCATTTTGTGTAGTAATAGATACTGGAAGATCACGCAGCGTTTGTAAATGTGTAATCTAAAACAACATGGCATCCATGCGAATCCTGGTATTTATCTGTTGTTTTCTATGACTATAACCTACAGTCCACTGGAATTTTTATGCTGTCAGATCGTGAACGTAAGAACAGACTCTACTTAAACGCTTATTTTTGCATATCGTATTTATCAAACACGGCGGAGCTGTATGATGTGTTCATGTCTAGATCTGACAATAGCATATACGAGTACGCGCTACAGTCAGCTTTGAGAAGGGCAGACTAATTGTTTTCGAGTCGGGCCGGCCCAAAACGCGCTGATTAACTTCACATCCGCGCCACCTGGTAAACTCACTGCAGATTCGAGCATTTGGTGGTGAGGACTGACATTTTAATTTACGAGGTGCGATCGGAAAGTTTCAAGACTGTGTCAATAGAGGGCGAACCGGATGTAGTACGAGCTTCTGCCTTTAGGGGGTGCGGCCTACATTCATAGTGAATCAGTGTGCCAGCCGGCATCATCGAATTAGCATTTGTTTCTTAGTTACGGGCGTTTTGGTAGTGCATTACACCAACCCTCCTGCGATTATGATGACGAGCGTTCTGGCCGACCATCTTCGAGCACAACGCCCGAAACTGTTACGAAGATCGACGTCGTACCATCAACGATTTGTGCGACATTGTTGGGATAGGCTATGGGACCTGTCAGCTGATTCTAAAGGAAGAACTCCACATGCGACGCATCCTGTCTGAGGCCCAGAAGCAGAATCGACTTCTCGTTTGTGAGGAGCTCAAAGATCTTGCAAGAACCGACCCCAACTTCCTTTCTAAGCTCCGTGTGACTTCTTCCTCTTCCCAAAGATGAAAACTCAGCTAGAGGGAAGGAGATTTGAGACGATAGAAGAGATTCAGGCAGAATCGCAGATGGTGCTTGACAGGCTGACAAAGAAAGATTTCCAGGGATGCTTCCAGGCGTGGCAGCGGCGCTGGGATCGTTGTGTTCACTCCCAGGGGAACTACTTCGAGGGTGATGGATGAATTTAATACCTGAGATAAGTGTACGGGTTTTTATAGGCGCAGTCTAGAAACTTTCCGATCGCACCTCGTAAGAACCGGTGACTGTTTTAAGGCCTGTATGAGAGTGACTGAATAAACCCACTAAAGCCATACGACCGCCAGCCTCCGGGAGGAGAATCTATTCTGGAACCCTCGGCTGATTACTGAAATACAGGTTGTATAGTGGTGTCGATGTCAACCAGCTGGCTCATGTCAGTAGCGGTGTTTGTGTTAACAGCACTGAAATTTTTAGTTCTGAACAGAGTGGACTGTCGTGTTTTTGTGTGACCAGGGTTAAAACTTCTGTAAGGAATGTAGCCGGTTGGAATCTTGGCCGGATTACTAAATCCCCTAACTTAACTTTTTTTCAGTCTGCACAAGTGAAAGCTGTTTTTTTTTTGCCTTGACATAGATCATGGCAGCCAGCTTCATCTTTCTACTTGTTCCCATTGTACCTTCTGAACTTAAGGGCCGTCTCTTTCATCGGCCACAGTGCCCTTAAATGACGCTCTCATTCACTTTGTTATTCCAGTCATCAAACCTGTTTAACACGTTCAATCACAAATCAATCAATATGATTCAAGGTAAATAACGAGACGAGGTATCTGTGAAGCAGATGCACATGGCGTGCATTCTGCACGTGGACCACGTTGCTTGTCATCTCGCCTTTTACCAACACGTGTCTGCTTCCCGAGAAAGAAACAACAGCAAAGCTGCCCCGTTACACGCCTTTCAGGCACTCAGGGGGAGCGAAAATATAGCTGCTACACATTTTTAACCTCGGTTCTAGATAGGGGTGACACCAGTACCCATTAGACCAGTGGTATTCAACCTGGGGTACTCGAAGACATCTTATGGGGTACGTGAAATTAAAAAATATATGTATTATTTTATAATAAACATTTAAAAATCAGTAATGTAATTTATTTAATTGATTTTAGATGTAGATTATATACTATGTATAACTTGAATTATACACCAACAACTTTTGGGGTACAAAGTTGAAGAGAAATTATATCTGGGGGTACGCGAAGACATCTTAGGGGGTACGTGAAATTTAAAAAATATATATATTATTTTATGATAAACACTGAATAATCAGTAATGTAATTTATTTAATTTATTTTAGATGTAGATTATATACTATGTATAACTTGAATTATACACCAACAACTTTGGGGGTACAAAGTTGAAGAGAAATTATATCTGGGGGTACGCGAACAAAAAAGGTTGAATACCACTGCATTAGACAGGAGGCTGGGTGAGCCCCATGGCTGGTCTGGAAGTAGAAGCTAGAGGAACAATTCCCTGCCCCTGTCGGGGATCGAACCCTGGCTCCTGTTGTATCTCTTTGTGATTGTGGCGTGTGCAGCGCATACACGTGTTGAGGATTTATCACAGAACCACGCTGCCATGTATTTTAGAATCGAAATGGAAAACTGTCGTCCCAAGACAAGGAACAAAAGAAGACAGATATTCAAGAACACTTTCCACCGTGTTCCTGTGCTATCAATTCATTAGAATCCCCACTGGGGCAGTAGTGTCCTTGTTAACACAAGGTGGACCACATTGGGACAGGTTTATCGCCGTACTTATCTGCAGTCGCATGTTTCAAACCGGAAGCCGTGGTTTTATTTTGCGTCACAACGAGAAAATCTGTAGTTCACTTACATCAGAACACACGGAGTACCTGTATATTTACACCTACGCTCCAAATGTCCGTAAAGTTCATACGAAAATAATCGGTACGCTTCTGCGAACGTTCGTTTCCCATTGCTTCTTCCTAATGACATTCTAAGCTGAGTATTTGAAGAAGCAACTGAGATTTAATGACACAAACAGTCACAATACAAACATTTTAA